TCCACACCCCACGACCCCCTGCCCCAGCCCAGAGCCCGCACTCTGCACCCAAACTCCCTCCCAGAGCCCACACCCCTCACCCCACACAGGGTCACAGGGAGAGAGGGAGAAGCACACAGGGTCACAGAGAGGGAGACGGACACGCACACACACACAGGGTTACACGGAGAGAGAGGGACACGCACAGAAAGCATCACAGGGAGAGAGCGGGAGAAGCACACAAAGTGGGGGAGGTCTAGGTTGGATATTAGGAAAAACTTTTTCCCTAGGAGGATGGTGAAGGACTGGAATGGGTTATCTGGGGGGGGGGGTCACAGGGGGAGAGCGGGACACGCACAGAAAGAGTCATAGGGAGAAAGAGGGAGATGCACACCTAGATTCACAGGGAGAGAGAGGGACACACACACAAAGCATCACAGGGAGCGAGAGGGGGACACACACAAAGCATCACAGGGAGCGAGAGGGACACACACACAAAGCGTCACAGGGAGGGAGAGGGACACACACACAAAGCGTCACAGGGAGCGAGAGGGACACACACACAAAGCGTCACAGGGTTGCCTTTGGCTTTAGAGTTGTGATCTTTCTCCTCTAGTCTGAGAAGCTCATTTCATTGTTTCCGGTGGGGCCAGAAACCGGTTCAAAGGGCTAGTATGTGTTTTGGCTCGTTGCATTGCCAGGCAGTGGGCATCGGATCCTGCATGTGTAAATCATTGTTCATTTGAACAGCCTGAGGCAGTGGCGGATTTAGAGTTAGTGGAGCCCTGTGCGCAGCTTCATTTTTGGGGCCCCCACCTCGGGACCCAGCCAAGAAAAAGAACATTCTCCCTTATTGCCCCCTCCCCCATTTTTCATTCTTTTTTCTTCATCCTCCTCCTATATTGGCGCAGGGGGTTGGGGTGCAGGAGGGGGCGCAGGGGTCAGGCTCTGGGAGGAAGTTTGGATGCAGGCTCTGGGCTGCTGCAGGGGGTTGGGGTGTGGGAGGTGTCTCCCTCTCTCCCTGTAAACCTGTGTGTGCCTATCCCTCTCTCTCCCTGTGACCCTTTCTGTCCCCACCCGCTCCCTGTAAACCTGCGTGTGTGCGTGTCCCTCTCACTCCCTGTGACCCTGTGTGTGTGTGTCTCCCTCTCGCTCTGTGACCCTTTCTGTGTCCCTCTCACTCACTGTAACCCTGTGTGTGCGTGTCCCTCTCACTCCCTGTGACCCTGTGTGTGTGCGTGTCCCTCTCACTCCCTGTGACCCTGTGTGTGTGCGCGTCTCCCTCTCGCTCCGTGACCCTTTCTGTGTCCCTCTCACTCCCTGTAACCCTGTGTGTGCGTGTGCCTCTCTCTCCCTGTAACCCTGTGTATGTGCATGTCCCTCTCACTCCCTGTAACCCTGTGTGTGCGTCTCCCTCTCGTTCCCCGTGACCCTTTCTGTGTCCCTCTCGCTCCTTGTGACCCTGGATGTGTGTGTCCCCCTCTCTCTCCCCCTGTGACCCTGGCTGTGCGTGTCCCTCTCGCTCCCTGTGACCCTGTGTATATTGTGTCCCTCTCACTTTGCATACCTGTTGGTACATGGCCCTCTCGGTCTCCCTTTGTTTGCACGTTCCCTCTCTGTGTGTGTGTAACTGTGCTCTCGTGTTCCTCTCGCTCCGCGTAAACCTTCGTGTTTGTGTCTCGCTGTGTTTTTGGTGTATAAACAATGTTAGCGCACGAAGACCCAAGCACAACCGGCACAACTTCGCCCTGGTACCCGCCAGACTGGCTGGCTATTTCCGTCAGACAGGCGTGGGGTACAGGGCGTTTCCTTTCCTTGCCCAGCGTCTGTCACAGCATCTCCTACTGACTGCAGGCTGAGCAGAGCCAGGACACGCTGGCGGTTGCATGTGGACGCTCCTGTACCGCACGGCAACGCTCGATGCTTTCACGCGTGGTGGGAGCTACACCCACCCTTGATTAGCAACATGGCTACAGGCCAGATCCTCCCACAGCTGGCACAAGACAGGTTCAGTCCACGCCTTCAATGGGGGCAGGCTGGTTTGTACCAGCCAAGGATCTGGGCCTTATGTCTCAGCCCTCTGCTGGCCCTACAGGTCGCCCTGGGCTAAGGGACGGGCAGCGCGAGGTGAATGGGAATGGACGGGGGCTAGAGCATTGGTAGGAATCTGACTGGTCGTGGCACACAGCATCTTCCAAACCTCCTGCTCGAGCTGTGCTGGGAACGTCCGCACCTCTTCCAGCAGGCGACGCTGCTCCGGGCTGGAGCCACTCTGGCTGGAGCCGGCTGGGGGGATCCAGGCAGTCCTGTCACCAGGGCTGATTGAAACCCCCTCAGCCATCGCCGTGGTAACAGAGCCATTCCAGGGGGACCAAGGCCACGTCTCCTTGTGTGTCAGCCAGTTTTGCTCATGGAGGCTCTGGCTGGGCCACGACCTGTTGATTAGACCCAAGTCCCGCTGGGGGGTGACGTGGGCTCAGATTGTCAGCCCCTCCCCTCTTCTCCATGGGGGGCGTTTGGCAGGGGCCCTATTCCCAGGGCTGGGGCATTGCCAGGGCTGTTACCTGAATGAGAAACGGAGCAGCAGGCTCTCTCCCTGGCTCCTGGCCTGGGGACCAGCAGCAGAGATACAGCCAGCCCTGGCCAGCGACCGCCGAGCCTGGGTTGCTGCCCTCCTAGAGCGGCCCCAGGGCTAAATCCACGTCGGGGGTAGCTCGCCCTGCGCAGCCTCACCTGACACTTCAGGTGGGGGTTTGCTTCTGGATTCTCCACGCAGCCGCCCTCGGCTGTGAGCCCCTCCTCCTCCTGCAGGGGGAGACAGAGCAGCCGGCTGCTCGAGCTGCTACATCCCCGCTGGGCCGGAGCCGCCTGTCTCGTGGCAATCTGGGAGCCCCCCCGGGAGATGAGCCTGGGGAGTGCCAGGACCAGCTCGCACCTGACGAACTCACCCCTTCGCTCTGCTCTGGAGTCTAAGCTCTGCACGGTGGGGACTGCTGCTTCCCTTGTGTCCGTACAGCACCTAGCACAGCACGGTCCCCAGGCTGCTAGCGAGGGCTCCTGCAGCGGGGGCCACAGTGCTGTACTCACTCAACCGTCTCAGACACCGGGGCAGCCTAGGGGCTCGTGACACATCAGGAGACAGACTATAAATATGGGGTCAGCTTTTCTCACAAGCCTCGTGATTTGGGGGGGCCAATCTCATGGGGGCTTTCGGGGGGCAGGGGGATGACTCATGATTTTAGATGGTTCAGGGTTGGCAGCCTTTCTGAGGAGGGCAGCGTGGTCAGTGCCCAAACGCTGTTCAGCTGGCAGAGTGGGGAGAGGTCGGCCCTGTCTCCCCTCCCCCCAGATCACACTCCCCACAGTCATAGACTCATTGGACTGGAGGGACTTCGAGAGGTCTAGTCTAGTCCCCTGCACTCAGGGCAGGACTATATTATCTAGACCATCCCTGACAGGTGTTTGTCTAACCTGCTCTTAAACATCCCCGATGATGGAGATTCCACAACCTCCCTGGGCGATTAATTCCAGTGCTTAACCACCCTGACGGTTAGGAAGTATTCAAGAGCAGCAACGGGACGAGATCGTTCATGCTGCCCGACACTGCTGAGGGTGGGAGCACAGTCCCATGCTCAGAGCATAGGACTGGTTCACAGCGCGATCCCACACCTCATACCAGATACTACGTCGGACAGGAGCTCTCCCAGGGCCAGAGCTCACCAGCGCAGGCGGTCAGCACAGCCATGCAATTAGTATGTTCGTCTTCCACGGAGCCATCCTCAGCCAGCCATTCCCCCTCACTGACACGCCTCTGCTGCCTCAAGGTGAAAAGTATGCCAAAAATACCTCCGTGCTCAGCCGAACCCCTGGCAGCCTGTGCCTGCGGGAGCTTCTCCTCCGTGTGTCTCAAGGACAGAGCGAGCAGGCTGCCTCTGGGCACGACGCACGGGTTAGCCACCACCCTGCTCCCTTGAGGGATACAGTTAGGTGGGAGGGAGACAATCTGATTTACAGAACCTGCAGCGTGGCCCAGTGGACAGGGTACTGGCCAGGGACTCTGGCAACCTGGGTTCTGGTCCTAGCTGACCCATGGGGTAACCTAGGGCAAGTCATGTGGCCTCCATTTCCCAAGCTGTACAGCACAGATTGTGACACTGCCCTCCTGTGTAAAGCACTTTGAGAGCGACTGAAGAACAGAGCTAAGTGGTAGTCGTATTTGGCCATAGGTGGGAGAGAGGGGGCTCCATAGATCATCAGTGTGAACAAGGTACCTGCCTTTTCCCTGTGAGCCACTGGGGGGACCAGCTCCACCCCTGTGCCCAACAGCAGCTCGGCCCAGAGGGCACGTAGCAGGGGCAGCACTTAGAAAGGCCGTAGCAGGCTAGTTATACAGAGCTCCAGCAGACAGCCCTGCAGCATGTCCAGAGGAGGCAGCTCCCAGCACCAAGCAACATTGCCACAGGCAACAAGTCAGAACTCTAGAGCAGCCCAGGGCGGGAGAAGGAAGCCCCCTTTGCTAAGTACCCCATCTGATATGTGGAGCTGGGGAGGGGCGACTCCTAAGGGGACAGCAACGCTATGAGCTGGAAGAGACATACCCAAGCTGGGGCACCACAGCCGTGTGAGCAGCGGGAAGGGCGGGCGTCCTGGGTACATAGCTACAGTCTCCGCAGAATTGTACTCAGAGCACCCAGCCTCTCACACTGTGGCAGATACGCTCGGCCTGTAGTGCAGGGGTTTCCACGCTGTGGGCCACAGAACTACTCCCTGCCTGCACATAGGCCCTGTCTACGCCCTGAGCTGGCTGAAAACTGAAGATGAGATCAGGTTGAGTCTTGCTCACATATGTCCCCAGATGGAAAAAAGTGCAAGGAGAAGCAGGCACACCTGTGCCATTAGGAAGACTCCTGGTCTGTAAGTTATTTTATATTTTTATTTACAATATTTGACCTAATTAGTAGAGAGCTGGGCTGGGTCTTTACTTACACACCATAAACATTCAGATTTTACACTAAAATATAGAAAACACAATATCGTGGGCTAAGCTGGCCAACTGTTTTGATTTAAAAATAAAAAAACCACATTGTGTTATTATTCAACAGTTGTGTTACCGTTGTTGTGGTGCTTATTGTTCAGTTGTATACCAAATTGTGTTTTCCTTGTGTGAACACATTTTGCTCTCCACACTTTTTAAAGTGGAGCTTTACTAAAACTGTTTGGTTTCAAAGACCTTGAAGCATTTCTTTGAGTGAGTGCGGCTAGGGATTTCTCTCATTACCCCTGCTTAGATGACCAGGAAAAGGAACCAAGGACGTGGTTTCTAGTGTTCTAGTGTATATGGATGTAGTAATTACAGTTAATCGTCTCCTCAAGCAGTGTTACTAGTGGGCGCAGCGCCATGGCAGCTGCACAGGCGGGCCGCAGGGAGCAGGTTTGGGAACCCGTGGGTTAGCGCCCGAACTCGATCTCAGTGAGCGCTGGCGTGTCTCCTCCAGCTTGAAGTGCAGACACCTGCTCACAGTCATACGGTTAGGCCCCACCCCCCAGCAGCCTGTCCTGCGCAGCAGCGTTCACCTGCAGACACACAGCCTTTTACACAATGGGTCCGGGAAGAGGGGTCCATTCAAGCCAAGCCCCAGACGTACAGCATGTTTGACTATAAGCCAGCCAGTGCCCACACACTCGCTGCCCCCTCCAACCCCACATGTAGGCCCGGAGCTAGAATCAATGTGCAGAGTCCTCATGGACCATGACGCAGCGCCAGGGCCTGCCAGTCTCCCGTAAACAGCCTTGTAGCCAAGCAAATCCAGCTGGGGTGTCACTGAGGCTGCAGGCCTGCCATGGGGCATGGGCAGGGCCCAGGCTCAGGCAAAGGGGGACCCTGACAGAACCCCATCCCGCTTCCCTCCAGCCAGGATCTCCTCTTCGCTGTGCAAGGACCTGGGCTGCAGCTTTCCAGCAAGGGCGCTGCCGGGGTGCAGGCGGGCAAAGCGCCCCAGGGCCCAGATGGGGAAGACGTTGCGGTAGGAGGTGTAGCTGATTGCACAGGACTTGTTGAACACCCCAGAGATGTTCTCCTGCGAGGGGAAAGAGACAGAAAGAGGCAGGATTGGCAGGGCGCTCGCGAGCAAGGGGTGCTCCTGCAGGAGGTCCCACAAGCCCTTTGCTCTCTCACAGGCCTGTTGCGGGTACTGTGCCAAGCACACACGTTATGACTGATGCACCCATGTTTCCCACACATCCCGGCACATGGATACACTCCCTGCTCACTCCCGCTGAGACATGACACCGCACACACGCAGGGCCAGGCTCCCCACCCTGCTCCGGTGGCCCCTGGGGCCAGACATTGGCCACCAGTGCCCAGGTGGGGATTGCCCTGCCTGGCACAGAGCCAGCGTTAAGAGGCACATGCAGCCTCCAGCACGTGGCGTGGTCGTGGCACGGTCGTGGCACGGATGGAGCACGCTGCTGGATGGGATTGTGACCAGCCCCATGTACTAAAACAGCCCTTGGGCTGCTCTCACGTGTGCTGGGGCTGAGGCCAGCAGGCAACCGGCCCCAGAATCAGGCAGTCAGACCTCCCCACCTCGCAGGGCTTCCCTGCAGCCACCGGCCCATCCACTCCCACCCACTTAACACGCCGTGCCTGCATCTCCCCATACACCTCCAGCCGCTGAACAACAGGGTTCAGCGATGAGCCGAGCCCTGCCCTGTTCCTGGTTCCAGCTGGATCTAAGGCTCCGCTACCCGAGGGCACAGGGCCCTGGGAAGGGTCAGGTGGGGTCACACAAAGCCACGCGGCCCGAGCCAAGGGGAAATACCCCAGAGATATATAGAAGAAGCCTCGTCCTGCCCACAGTCCTTGCACCCAGGGCGCCTTGCGGGACGGTGAGCTGCTGGGACGCAAAACGGATCCGTGTCCAGGGATTTGACAGGCTACTTCCATGTGCACAAAGCAGCAAACCCTGCAATGGCGCAGAGGGTGAGCACTGGCAGGGGAAGGTAGGGCACACAGGGTTGGCTTGGGGCGCTCTTTAGTTTGCCAGCGTGAACAGCAGGGAGATGACAGACCGCTGGCAAAGCGGAGCCCGGGGGCAGCGTGGTGGGTAGGGGAGGGAGGTCAGCCGGAGCCCCTGCCTCATCTGGAACGCTCCCACTGCCGAGGGCGTCTGCTCCCGGAGCATTTCACTGCTCTGCAGCCTTGGGCTGCTTTGGGCCCTGCATGGCGCCCGGATCCCCAAGTAACCATGACAGCGAAAGCCCCCTCACCTCATCGCCTCAGTCTGCACTGATCACCCAGAGTGTATCCCGGCCCCCCCCACCTCTCTGTGAGATCTAAGGCTCAGTGCAGCTAGGGATGGACCGACAGGTCCTGAACAGCTCCGGCTGGTTCAACATGCCGCACAGGTCACCCCAGTACCTGCTCCCTGCTCCGGCTCCACTTTCACAGAGTCCCGGACAAGGGCTCCAGCTGCTGTTCAAACCTTCTCCACCAGGGAGATCGTCCCTTCTCCTGCGACCACGACTTCTCCTGACAGCTGCATTCCAGCAGCTCACCCAGACAGGGAGGCTTTTCAATACAGGAGGCAGAGCTCTCCCTGGAGCTGGACCGGACTGTGGAACTCACTGCCACATGACGGAACGAAATGCAAAGCTCAGCTCTTCCACGGAGCCATCCTCAGCCAGCGATTCCCCCTCACGGACAGCTCCCAGCAAAACCCCTTGAGCCATCGGCCTGCATCTCCCCCGGCTGGGAGGGATGAGAGGGAGAGGGGCTGGCTGAAATGCCTGCAGTGACAGGGGCTGGACACATTAGAGAGAGCAGTGAGGAGCTGCATACCTGAGGCCAGTCCCCATTGGGCAGCT